GGGGGGGGGGGGGGATACTTTGATCTATGTGAGGGGTAATAAATACCTGGAAGTAACGCATTACTCTGCAAGAATGTACTTAACATGTACATGTATATATTTAATGCTAGGACTACTTTAAGTGTGAGTGCCTACTTGCTGTATAACTAAAGTTATGTTTTCTTTCAGGCACAACAGGGACTCCCACTGCCAACACGGCAACTGTGATATCTACTGCACCTCCAGTATCGTCTACCCTAACCTCCCCGTCACTGACCCCTTCACCATCCGCCTCTGCGGCAGCTCCCGAAGCATCCAGTGCTAGCGAAACTAGTACAACGCACACCACCTCCACTCCACTCACTTCTCCCTTGACCGCCGGCCAAGTGATGGTGACGGCTTCGGGAATCCACACGGCAGCTGCCACAGCACTACAGGCAGCAGCGCAACTGCCCTCCAATGCAAGCCTCGCTGCCATGGCCGCTGCAGCGGGGCTGAACCCTGGGCTGATGGCACCATCTCAGTTTGCCGCTGGGTGAGGATCTGCTTTGCGCTCCCGATACAGATTGTTTTGTAACAGTTTCTGCCAAAAGATGTAAATTGTATAATTCTCCATTCAAGTTGCCAAGTTTCTGCACAACGTGGGAATCGTTACAGAGTTACCTAGTTAGGTTAACGAGAACGTATGATAAATGGGTCATGGTGAGAATAGACTAAAGGAATAAAACAAAACACACACTTTGCATCCCCAGAACCACAAACTCAAAACTGATTGGGAGGAAGACAAAATAATCCCTTACAAAGCCTGGTCCAATTTTCTCAAGCAGAAAAAATGTCCTTCTTTATCCTCAGTTGCTCTCTGATGATTACCTAGGTCATACCTCTACATTGTTATTCAGGCACTGGGAGAAAAGCCTTGCATAAGCTCTAAATTACTACTTGGACCTTACACAGGGCTTAGGACTCTCTGTCTGCCCATACATAACGGCTCAGGCCAGTCACCATGCAATAGTACTGCCACATGGGAGGAAGGGAAGTGAGTTGCATGCTTCCCTATATCCTGAAGTATTTCTCTTTGTTTTGAGTAATGGGGGAGCAGAGGGGAGGCGAGCACTACTGTGGAGGGGGGAAGTTTAGACAGTACTTCGTGTGCAAAAACCTTCATTAAATATTACTGAATAACAACAAAGGCTATAAATCCATCTTTCCTGCACCAAATGCTTTTGTAAACCCAAATATTGCCTTGTTAAAATAGCAAGGGATTATTTGGATGTCATCCTCATTGCACACAGCCTGTGCAGAGGTCAGAGCTGTGGGAGGGGACCAGTAGGCTACCTGCAGAAAACTACAGCAGGGGGCGGAGACGAGACCAGTCACCTCATACAAGGAGATAGAGCAGCTGTGACCTGTCTTTATTACAGGAGGGGGCGGAGACAAGACCAGTCACCCTGCACAAGGAGAGAGAGCAGCAGTGACCGGTCTTTATTACAGGAGGGGGGCGGAGACAAGACCAGTTACCATATACAATGAGAGAGAGCAGCAGTCAGCAGTCTTTATTACAGGAGGGGGCGGAGACAAGACCAGTCACCACATACAAGGAGACAGAGCAACAGTGAACGGTCTTTATTACAGGAAGCTTCTGCACAGAGGCAAAGTGCATATGTTGTTTCATGATGGATGACTGCACATATCTAGGAGAATTACATAAAGGTAGACCAAGAATGATATCGGAGTTCACAGGCCTCTTGTATTTGCACAATATTTGGTTATCCCCGAGTTGTCTTTTGAAGTGAACTTGCTGCTTTGCCCTGCATAGGCAAAACACAGGTTCACTTTAAGCTATTGCTTGGCAAACCCGTGTCCTAGTAGGAGGCTTGTTTGCCAAATCGAAATTCAGAAAGTTTTTGTGGGCCTTTTGCGTATTTGTATTATTTGGTATTGTATTAGCTGACTGTATTTCTGAACACTGCAGTTTTTATCTTTTCTTTGCAGAGGTGCCTTATTTAGTCTGAACCCAGGGGCACTGGGGGGCGCGCTCAGCCCTGCTCTGATGAGTAACAGCACTCTGGCGACAATACAAGGTAAGTCACATTACCCTTGGCTCACCTTCCGTTCCTTTATGCTGCCCGCCATTGCTTCTTGTTCAGTGTGAATGCATGAAAGTGGAGCTATACTCATGTGTTAATTCAATGTTAAAGCTGTACTCCGGCCTTCTCTTCAGTCTTGCACCGTTGTACCGGCTCCTCTCCTGGACGGAAATGGCTTCCTCTGATTTCTCTGCACACTGCGAGCTCCTGCCTTAACCACATTGCCCATGATCCATTTTTAGGGTGGCCACTCACCAATCCCAAGCACTGTGATGCAGGGACATGCCTAGCACTATGCAAGGTCTGACTTTGAATGGGTTTATTTGGACACTGCAGTAGGATTTGGGGCTGTGCCGTAAAGTTAAGAGTAGTCACCTTTATGTGTTTGCTCTCCACTGTATTTTTTAAACTTGGGGCAGGTTTAACTTAACATATGAGTATAGGTTCACTTGATGATCAAAAATAATCCATAGCCAAACCAATTTAACTTAACTGGCTTTTAGAGGGAGCATTATTTACCCCCTAAAGTTTATGTAAACTAGGGATGCACCGATACCGACACTAGTATGGGGGCCGAGTATTTGCAAATGCTCCGATGCCTAGCCTGATACTTGAGCTTCTGGTATCGGGAAGCCAGGCAGCGAGTCATTACACGTTGCCCGCCTTCCTGATTGGCCCGAGAAGCCGGCTCCATGCGGTGACCAGGGAGCATGGAGCCGAATTCCCAGCCAATCAGGAAGCCGGGCAGCATGTAATGACTCACTGCCTGGCTTCCTGATTGGTCGGGAAGCTGGCCTAGCAGGAAGCCGAACGGCGAGTCATTACACGCTGATTGGCCAGAAAGCCGGCTTCATGCTCCCTCGTCACCTGGTGATGTGGAAGCATGGAGATGGCTTCCCTGCTAATCGGGAAGCCGGGTGGCAAGTCTTTACAGAAAGCCGGCTTCATGCTCCCTCGTCACCTGGTGATGTGGAAGCATGGAGATGGCTTCCCTGCTAATCGGGAAGCCGGGTGGCAAGTCTTTACAGAAAGCCGGCTTCATGCTCCCTCGTCACCTGGTGACAAGGGAGTATGGAGCTGGCTTCCCGGCCAATTAGGAAGCTGGGCGCCACGTCATTACACAGTGCCCGGCTTCCTGATTGGCCAGAAATGATGGCTTCCCTGCTAATCAGGAAGCCAGGTGGGGAGTCATTAAACGCCGCTTGGCTTCCTTAATGGGACTTCCGGTTTTGGTATTCGGTATAAGCGGGTTCCGAACAGAAAATATCAGTACTCGATACTGACAAACCGGTATCAGTGCATTCCTAATGTAAACGCTGTTTGGACCCTTTTGGTCTGGTAAAAATATAATTAAAAATGCTGTGTTATATCTTTTCAATGAGTGCAAACAATACCAATTCATGCTGCTAGAAATCCAGTGAGCCCCTTTCTTCCTGTGCACTGTGCCTGGTTATCAGCTCTGTGGACTAAAGCTGGCCCTACCCTAGTAGATTTCCGAAAGAAAGATCTTTCTTTACCACCCGATAATGCCATCACAGACTTGACAAATCTCAAACAAATTTATTTTTTATTTTTTTAATATTCGATTTTGGAATGAATGGAGTTTTACGAACGAAAACCACATTCACTGTTAGAATTTTATTCCTTCGAGAAACATTTTCTATCCCGCTCCTTTGACTTTGGTCGAAATCGATGATCGATTTGACCCCATCAACTAATAGAAAGTCGAATGAAAGATCTTTCGTACGAAAGTTCTTTCGAAAATCTACTAGTGTATGGCCACCTTAAGAATATGTCTTCCCCCCATGTGTGGAGAAGAGGTAGAGGTGGGGGATCTTCTATAGACCTAACACATTTCCTGTCCTAGGCTGCTCCTTCATAGATACAGTACGGTGATTGAGCGTTGTCACCCTGGGACAGGACGTGTGTTACTGGTAGGATCGCCAGGTAGAAATAAAGGGAAGAAAAGCCTGAAAAAAGTAAGCTAGAAATGCAGCCGCCCCATCTAAGGACCAGTAAGCTGCCATATATAAAATGTTTGTCCTTGGCTTTAGATGCGCTCTATTATATTCTTGTTTAGATTATGAAAATCTTTGAGGATAAGGATGTTACTTTTCCAGGACCATTCAAACATCTTTCTAGATATGTTCACATACGGCATTAGTCCCCAGAAAGTATTGGCAACTGTCATCTGTAGACAGGCTCCGGGACAGTAAGGGTAGCGTTGTGTGGTCATATCAATTATCAGTCCCCAAAGAATAAAACACACTGGTGGTAAAGCTGTATGAGGTTAAAGTGGACCTTCCACTGAAATACAATATCTGCTTACGTGGCAGACCCACTGCTGCCAAAACGCTGCATTATGGGCAAAAAAAAACAAAAAACAATTTGTAAAAATTTTACGTATCATACTTCAAAGGTTTTGGAAGGCTCTTGTACAGTGCAGTAGCGTCCTCTCGCGAGAATTGGGGTCCTGAGCTTTCCCAAGATCCCGCTATACAGCAACAGCAAGTGGCCGGATCCTGGGAGTATGGTGAGTATTTTAACCTTATTTTTTTATCATTTTGGGGGGGTTTTTTATTTCCATATTGCAGTGTTTTGTAATCAGGGGGTGAGGGCAGCCACATATGCGGACCTTGCATTTTGGTACAAGGTCCGCTTTAATACTAAAACCAAAGGTAGGATTCCTCTAGCTACAAATCTCTCAAGCAATAGCTAACACAGGGGGACATGTATATTCTCTGTGTGGCAGTGCTGGTGCTTGATGGTTGGCCCAGCAATGTCACATGGAGTGAGTCACTTGTTCCTCTATACTGGGAACTACCAGGTAGTACTAGAGGTGCCAATATAATTTGGTGGTTAAAGGAAGGGTCAGTTGGTGTTTCTGAGATGTGTAGGCCAGCAAACCTGGTCCTTAGCCCTTCTTGTATTTTTTTTAATATAACCCCAAAAAGAGCCCTCTCCCTTAAACCCTCTGCACCCCACAGAATGTTAAAACCAATCTCCTGTCCTTTCTTTGTACACCTTCTCCACTAATTTTTTGTTTTTCTTTCACTTCTTTCTTCCCTAGCTCTGGCATCTGGTGGATCTCTTCCAATAACGTCACTGGATGCTTCCGGGAACTTGGGGAACTTGGTTTTTGCCAACGCAGGGGGAACTCCTAACATTGTGACTGCTCCCTTATTCCTCAACCCTCAGAACCTCTCCCTTTTCACCAGCAGCCCGGTTAGCCTGGTCTCCGGCGCGTCCGCAGGGGCTGCCACACCCATCACAAGCCTTCACGCCACCTCCTCCTCAATCGACGCCATCCAGAACTCTCTCTTTACAGTGGCCTCTGCCAGCGGACCAGCTTCCACCACCACCACATCCGGCTCCAAAGCACAGTGAGCTGAGTCGGTGCGATCACGTCTGCTTTTTTTTTCGGCTAGTGATCAAACGTGTGAGAAAAAAACAAACAATGTGGTCTGCTCCCGCTCAAATGAAATAAATTTTTGCGGGGGAGAGGGAAGAAAAAAAAAAAGACGAGAACAAATAACGGACATTTTGCCTAATTTTATAATAAACATTCTCTTTTCAGGATGACCACTGATCAGAGAACTTTCTAACCAAAAATGTAAAAAACTGAAAAAAATGTACAAAAAAAATTCACAAAAAAGTGGAAGGACTACTTATCATTTTCCAGCAGTCACACGGACAAGATAAGGTTGGTTGTTTAAAGAAAAAAAAAAATATCTGGTATTGGAAGGGGATTTTGGTTGTCAGAAAATACTTTTTATTGTTATTAATTTTTTTTTTATTATTATCATTTTGTATAGGTCTGTTGTACAGACCTTTAATGTCATGCAAGGTGTTTATAGTCATATCAAGAAAAGAAAAAAATGTTGGGGTTCCTTTCGTAACTGGTACAATTTAGGCAGGCCTGTATTACTGATGTTTTCCAGATGACTTTCCAGGTAGGGTGGTCCTCTTGGAGGAGTTAAGCTTTGTCATGACGTTCCTAAGCAGTGGTGAGTTCTGTGTCGGGTTCCGAGTTCTTTTACTGTACCCACGTTACTGCTTACGGGGTTCTCCTATCATTTCCCATGAGTACACTCCTGTCCTGGCTTCTTAAAGGGGGTTTTCCCACCTTTTTAGATGATTTGGCCTATGCAGCTTTTTCTAAATCTATTTCTTTTTGTTTTAAAGCTTCCTTCTGTTTTTTTTGTTTTTTTTAGGTTTTATGTACAATTTGTTGTTTATTCTTAGAGTTTGTATTGCCCTGAGACACAACTGAGCTTTAACTGTGCAGCTGGTATGGTTTTACGACGTGTCCCAGGACAACGGAGTAAGTAAACGGCCATAAGGAATCTAGAAGGAGAAAGCATTTAGGACTAAGCTGCGGTCAAAATTCAAAACTCGCGTCATTTAAAGGAAAACCCCTTTTAAGAATCGACTTTGGACCTCTTAACGACAGACTGCTGTATATGATGTGTGCAAGGTATGAATTAATTTATTGAGAAGGCTGAACATTTCTCAACTCAACCTGTGAATGTGGATCACAATTTTGCTATACACTACAAGCTGAACAATAAGCCTTTTGACGGCCAGTTTCAAAAGTAAACTCTCGTCTTGTTGCGGAGAATGATAGGAGATTAATGGGCAGATTCAGGAAGAATACTGGACGTGTTCAGTCCAATCTAGGAACCAATAGGTCTCCTTTGGTAATCCTGGGCAACCAAAAAAAAAAAATTTGCCTCCATTGATAAAGATAGAACAGGCTCGGAAAGGGTAGACAACTATTCAAATGTGTTAGGCGCTTCGGCGACCTGGTTCCTGGGATTTGGCCAAAGGAAGAGGAGCTCCAGCTGCAATGTAAAATATTGCTCAAGGTCTTTTTGCACACATCATGAAAGAGAGGACGGGCGCGTTTCCAGCTACGGTGGCTGGGTTGGCCAACCCTCTGGGACGTCTTGACTTGTTGGGTAAATATCTTAGGACCGGGTGCTTGCAGTGTGCGAAAGATCTGCGTCCATCAGTTTCTACCAGACTGAAGAGTAGATCCGCAACGATATTATTTTTTATCCCCTACCTTCACGTACCCATATCTTTTATATACGAAACCAAATATCTGAGTGAATGAGACCACAGACTGGATCGTTGCCCTGCAGTTCACACTACGCCTACTCGCGGGACAGTTTTCTGGCCCGTTTAGTGACCTGACGCCATGGATCCATGTTTTGTGACGCTAATATGTGGAGGGTGAATCAAGGCACCCACCTTCTGCTTTAGAGGGTGTTCTTTATGAACACTTGATGCACTGAGTTATATGATGGTCCTGATCGTGGCAGAAACTCTCCCTCTGCTCCTCCCATATCTTTTTTGTATTTTTTGTTGTTCGTTAAATAACGTACTACGATAACCTTTGCTTATATAAATGTAGGTAGCCATCTTGGACACAGAAAAAGTTGACCTTGCCAGCCTTTATGTCATCAAATAACGAGGTACTACTTTTTTTTCATGTCAGTGGTTCCTAGAGGACTGGTGCACTGAATATTAGTGCCCGCAATGGCTACTTCTGTGGACGTTGGCAATGGCTACCCTTTCATTTACCATCTCTAACCATTTCTAGACTAGTGAACTGCGAGCAGTCAACTAACCTGTTTCATTCGACCTTGTGTGTGTGTATGGTTTTTTTTTTTTTTACATTTTGTTCAGAATTATTGTTTTTGTATATTATTATTATTTTTTCTTTATAACTGCCCCAATGCTGAAAATAGGGTGGCAGGGCCTCTCGGCCGCTCGCCCCGATGCAGCGCAGAGGGCGGTTAACCAAGCTTGAACCAAAGTCAATTTCTAGCAAGCTGCTGTACTAATGGACTAGTTTGTATAAGTGCAGTTCAGACGCAGTGAGTGACAAGATAGATGCTACTGACAATTTTTCTTTTCAGTTTGTCTTTTTTTTTGTTTATTCTTTGGTGGGTGGCTGGGGGGGTGTTAATTTTATATATTAATGTTGCTGCTTGGTGTAATTTTTTTTTTGTTCTTATGTTTAAGGCAAACTCTAACTTGATGGGTTTTCTTCATGTGTAAATATTGAGATGTTGAAATCCCCTCAAATCACCTTTATTCTCCCCACTTCTGTCACTTTCACGTATTCCCCACTGGTACCATAGACTTGGCATTATATTGGCTTTTTTTTATGTCAAGCTTCTGTGGGAACAGGCAGCACTTACAGGTGTTCTAGGGTAACATTTCTTTAAATAGACAAGCATCACTAACAACACTCCAGTTCTTAAAGCTGAATTCCAGGCAGATATCATGTATTCATTAATACTAGGGATGCACTGATACCAGTTTTTCGGTATCAAGTACGAGTACCGATATATTTTTTTTCGGTACTCGCTGGTACCGAATACCGGAAGTCTCATTAAGGAAGCCAGGCGGCATGTAATGACTCGCCACGTGGCTTCCTGATTAGCAGGGAAGCCATCTCCATACTTCTCGTCAGCATGGAGCCGGCTTTTCGGCCAATAGGAGGCTAGGGGGCGCCGTGTAATGATGCGGCGCCCACCTTCTTGATTGGCCGGGAAGCCGGCTCATTGCCCCCTCGTCATGAGGTGATGAGGGAGCATGAAGCCCGCTTTCCGTTCAATCAGAGAGCCGGGCGCTGCGTCATTACACGGCGCCCAGCTTCCTGATTGGCCAGCTTCCCGACCAATCAAGAAGCTGGGCAGCGAGTCATTGCACGCTGCCAAGCTTCCTGATTGGCCGGCTCCATGCTCCCTCCTCACAAGTGATACCGGAAGTATCGGGCTAGGCATCAGAGCATTTGGGCGAGTACTCGCCCAAATACTCGGTATCGGCACTGATACTGGTATCAGTGTATCCCTAATTAACTCGTCCTTAAATACACCTGAGATTAGTATCGGCCTCATGCAGTCCCCTGTACAGCAGAACTCAGACTGGAGGAAAAGCAGCACCAGGAGCCAATCTACAATGCTTATTTGCTACCAAGGAGCATTATGGTAGAAAGAAAAGAGATGAGCTCACTAGTCTGCTGCGTCTACTCTCACTGTCCATTCACAGGCAAGGGGGAGAGACTCCACCCGTGTTACTTAACTAAGGCAGAGATAAATCAGGTCTCCTGCCTTGCAAGACAGCTCCACTATGTAGCCGAGATATATAAATCTGAGGACTGGATGGACAGAAAAACAAATCCTTTTGTCAGGTAAAACCACTACCTTATATGACTTTACTCTGTGTATATGTATATAGCTATTTGGAGTTCAGCTTTAGTATATGCACATCTGGAATTCAATTTACATTTATTTGGCTTTGATTTTTCTACAAGCCTTGAGTTCAGACAATGCATGAGTATTCAACGTTTTGGAAGCTATCTTGTCCTGGCCTGAACCCATAAAAGTTAGATTTAGATTCTTGATATCATCATGACCCTATGATTTATCCATGGAATTGGATGGATCCATGTTGGGTAATTTCCATGTTGCACCCTGCATGAATCATCACTCTCCTACGTTTGGGGAAAGCATAGCCCAATTAAACGTTCCACCATGATGGATCAGTTCCCATGCTGTCTGAAGGAACACAGTATGAACGTGTAGTAAAGTGCCCTATACTTCAGTGGGTTGGTGCTAAGTTCCTTCTTAAAGGAGAACTATGAGGTGAGTGCTTTTCACTCACCTCATAGTTCTAACCGACCTGTGACAATGAGACTGTCACAGGTCGGCTCAGTAGATCGGGAGGTGAGGGAACACATACCGGGTTCGCTCACCTCTCGATCCTGTCACGGCTCTCTGCCGTGACAGGGGAGGGGCTGGATTCCCCCCTCCCCGCTCCGATCTGCCAGCGCTGACTGGCGGAACGGACAGGGGAGGGGGCGGATACAGCTGGCTCTGCCTCTAGATAGGCAGAGCCAGCTGTCACTCACGCAGCTGGGCGGATCCCGGCATAATTGTCGGGATCCGCTTCAGCTGCGGCGTCTCAGTATACCGCGAGCTACTGCTCGCGGTATACTAAGCCTAGGGTGACAGGAGGACGCTAGTTTGCGTCCTTCCGTTACCCTAAGGAGAACTATGGGGAAAAGCCTTAACCCCATAGTTCTCCTTTAAACATCATGTCCTTTTAGCTCCAAACCCTGTCCTCCAGTTATGGCCGTTTCTTTCTATGTTGACCTTTTGAGGTACCCCATAGTTTTTTTGTGTTCATGACAATATTCCACACATAGAATTTAAAGTGACTTACAGTTCACTTTATAAAGCTGTATGACTTATTTATAATTTGTCGAAGGGTAATGTGCTCATTACAACCTTCAATTCACTTACGCCATAAGCCACTTACACCAAACGTTTGTGGGGACCTCATATATACCTATATGAGCTTGTTGGACATCCCATTCCAAAGCCATTGTCATTGATATAAGCTGGCCTTCCTTTGTGGCCTCCACTC